AAGGATAACTTCAAAAACAATATAAATTTGTGAGTTGTAAAAAAAAAATAAAAAAATAAAGAAGTAAAACAAAAAAAACAAATAAATATTTATTTACTCACAGAACGAATGTTTTTGTGCGCGTCAATACACAGAAATTATGATCATTAATGATCATCATGTTGCACAGAAATTATGATCATTAATAATATTAATGATTATAATTTCAGTGCAATGACGTCACAATCATCACGTTGCACTGAAATTATGATCATTAATAATATTAACGATCATAATTTCAGTGCACTGATGTCATGATCATCACAATTGTTAAGATTCTTAACAATCATTATTTTCATGCACTGACATGCACAATTGTTAAGATTCTTGACTTCTGTGCACTAACGTGCACAATTATTAAGAATCTTAATGATTGTGCACATTAGTGCACGGAAATTATGTGGTCATTAAGGTTAATACATGTCAATATATGGATATGACACTGTGCATGATAGTGCACGAATTTCAATTTTTCGTGTGATAACGTGTATTAAATTTTTTGGATGATCAGTGATACTGAAACCCGTGCTTATCCGCATAAAATTTCGTATTTATGCATGCATTTCTGTGTATCGAGTTTTCATAGGGCTGAAAAGAGGTATAGAAAGACTTGGTCTGAGTTTCAAAGCTTATGGCCTTTGCTGCAACATATCAAGATACCAAGATAAGTATACCCATCTCTATATTCATAGCAAAAACCAATATTACATTACTAGAGCATTGTTCAAATAAGCAGGCTTCTTACAATATTTAAATAAATTCTGGTAATTTCAGATAGGTTAGTCTTGGTAAAAAAATGTTGAGATCACAAGATTAACGATCTTCCCGGCACTTTGGCATAGCTTGATAAATCATATATTACATTACACACATTATACGGTATTAAAAACTATAAATAATAAGAATATAAATTATCGGACTATCAAGATACACCATTTGTAAAATTATGTACGTTCTCCGAGTAGTCAGAAGCAATCATTCGGTCTTGTGATCTCGACATTTTTTTGCCATTACTAACCTATTTGTAATTTCTTCCCATAATGAAACAGTCACAAATGTCAAGCTTATTTTAAACGCACTGATTAAAAAGATCTTTATGTTCAATAAATTAAATAAAGTTAGTGAGTAGCATTATGTAATAATATTTATTTTATTAAATATATAATCCTTTTACATTTACAGCTAAATTAACATGAATAAATAAGAGTTAGATAGTAATAAAAACATTACACTAATTTTAAATTCATCACTTAATTACTTAACTAATACAAATTGAACAAAATTATATAAGTAGTACTATATAAGACTATATAAAGATATTTACAAAGACCATTATTTCATTAACTAATGCTGAATAATTTATCAGGGTAGATTTTCGTAGTAACTCTCACATTCGCACTATATCAGGAATAGGTTTTAGTGGTAACTCTCATTCACACTAGTATCAGGGAGTAGCTCTCACTCAGTATTGGGAGTAGATTTTAGTAGTAACTCTTACATTCACGCTAGTATCAGGGTTAGAGGCCTGCATTGGATCCCAAAGCCCAGACCAGCCCAGGCTGCCCGGCCCGATGTGTGGGCCTGGGCAGGCCTAAAAAAAATTTTTATAATCATGGGCTGGGCCAAAATTTTGAAAAAAAATTTATATTAAAAATTTGCAGGCCGGGCCAAAACGGGCCGGGCTTGACAAAAAATTTTTAACTGCGGGCAGGCCCAGGCTGGCAAAAAATTTGTAACCCTAATTGCAGGCTGGGCCCGGGCCTTAAAATTAGGAATTTGCAGGCCTCTAATTAGGGTGCAGCTTTCACCCAGTATTGGGAGTAGTAACTTTCACATTCACACTAGTATCAGGAGTAGGTTTTAGCAGTAACTCTCACATTAACACTAGTATCAGGAGTAACTCTCACTCAGTATTCATATTGCTTATTTTAAATAATTGATTAAAGGGCTTTTTATATTCATCAAAACAAAAATCAAAGTGAAAATCAAAGTGAAGTCCGAATGTTAATAATTAAGAATGGTAAATTTATTGGCAGTCAATTTTCAAAATTACAATAAAAGAGCTGCACATACACAAGAAAGAATTTACTATATATAGGAATACAAGTTTGCAGTATGCCAAGCAACCGAATATGAGATCAAGAAAAAACATAAATATTAGCATAACATCGTGAAGCAAATCATGTACTTGCAATACATAATAAAAAGAATTTATAAAATGTCAGAAGATCACATGACTGAGGTTCTTGTGGGTGACGTGTTAATTCTGTAATTCAGAAAAGAATTTTAGAAGATTCTTTTGGTGATGTGTTATTCAAGTTGATGAGAAGTCAACAGATTGAAAAGACAGATAAGCAGGGATACTCCGGTCACAGCTTGCTAATTGTGCAGATTAAGATACTAGGTATTTCAGTTTTGACTGAATTGAGAAAACAATGAGCTGACGGGTGCGTACATAAAGCATATAAATTGAGATGAGTACCTTTTAATCAGTTGCATGTTTTGGAAACTCTATGAATAGCGTGCGAATATAATAACATTTGTCTCACCAATAGATCTAATATATAAAATAGCTGATACGGAGGAAGGCAACGAGTGCATTATGCAAATATGGAGCAATGCTTCATATCAAAAGTCAGCCTGCGTTATACAGTGTGGGAATTACCTGGCACAATAATAGTTTCTATTTCTGGGAGCATGTCCTGTCTTAGTCTGTACATCAATTGCACTGATGTATACTATGCATTCTCAATAAAAATCATTTAATGCGGAGTGATGGTAAATCATGTGATCGAAAGGCGTTCAAAGCCGGGGCCACCAACTCACAAAAGAAACTGATTAAAGGCAAAAGATCATATGCAGATGATGCAATAACATATACCTTTTAACGCCCAAGCAATGCACAGCCCCATGGCAATATGAAAGAAGAAAAGACAATAATGCATAAATAGCGGGACTAAAAATACTGGAAACCCGGTCCCAGCGAACCCGATCTAAATATTTTCTTGACCCACTCAACTCACCCAATAGATGAACAAGTGATCCTACCATTTCTCCGCTCACATTCCTCATGTGCTCTCTGTTTACAGCCGGCTTGTGTCAGCAAAGCGGGAAACCACCAGCATTGTCCAAATAAATCCATATGTAACACAATGCTTTTCATAAAGTTTAATGTCTGGTGCATTCAACTAACTATATATCAGGTGTTTGCAATGCTTTTTGATTTATTAATTACGTAATAATTTCATTGTATCTGTAAAAAATTTTTTTACAAATATTGAATCATTTTCTTAAAAGGACAGTTCCTTCTCAAAAACTTATACATTTCATAAACAGAATGTGCATAGCCTGGATTTCCAAGTTGTCAAAAATATTTAAAAAAAAACTTCAGAAAACTTCAGGTAGTCATTTTTTGTTTTTAGAATCATACTGTATTTTCAAATCCAATTCAAAGCCTAAAGTTACAAATAATAATGTGGATGAAATTCTAGACTTAAAAAGTTTTGCAGAAAGATTAGAGCTCAAAGATTTAATGAAAACAAAAGTAAATGGAAAAAATTCTATAGTGTGTAATAAATTTGATTTAACTTAATTGCTAATTTAATAAAAATTAGAGCAAATTTCATATGAGTTTTATAATAGAGTGGAATCTGGCTTCTGTCTATAATAAAGTCTTTCTTTTACTAAGTTAACCTTTCTTTAAGCTTTAACAAATGGGGACCCCCACAGCAAAAGGAGGGGCTGGGCCAAAAAAAATTTTTTTTAAAAAAATCCAATATCTCGAAGAATTAGTTTAATTAGAATAAAATTATCATAAGAACAAATTTTCAAATTTTTTTGTCCAAGTCCCTTGTTTTGCTATAGGGGTCCCCAAATGTTGTAGAGCTCATTTTTGCAGTTCTAATGGTGGCAAAATCATTAAAATTGGCCTTGTAGTTCTTGAGATATTGTAACTTTCCTTTCTTTGTATATATAAAACTTTTTTACAATATTGTAAAGAAGTTTTATGTGCAAAAAAAGGAAAGTTGCAATATCTCAAGAACTACAAGGCCAATTTTAATGATCTTGCTACCATTAGAACTGCAAAAATGAGCTCTACAACATTTGTTAAAGATTGAAAAAGGTTAACTTAGTAAAAAAAAGACTTTACTATAGACAGAAGCCAGATTTCACTCTATTATAAAACTCATATAAAATTTGCCCCAATTCTGACTATAAAAACAGTGCTGATTATAAATGAGCTATTTTTTTTTTAATTTGGCAATCCTGCCTTTATTGTATTAGGGGTGTGTAATCTAAATACATGGTTTCTGAACAAAAAGCCTGCAATAAACTCAATGCCTTCTACCCCCTTCTACTCTTCAATAAAGATTTACTCAGCTGCTCGTAATAGTGCCCAAGTGCAATCTGCCACAGCAATAATTTATTCATCTCTGGCATCTAACTTGCTAGATGACTCCCTGAAAAAATCACTAAATGCTTATTGCTAGCTTTGTCAAGATTGCCTTTTTCTTAACATTTTTTCTTCTTCAAAGGGGTATAGAACAAATGGGGTAAGAAACAAAAAAAAACACAGATAAAACGAAAATGACAAAAACAAAAAGAAAAAGAAAAAACAAAGAAGAATATATAAAAAGAAAACAAATATGAAAGAGAATATAAAAGAAAAAATTACAAAGAAAAGAAAACAAAAAGAACAGCAGAAAATTCCATCTTTTTTGGCACTACTATAACCCATGCCAGGCTGAAAAAATTATATAACAAATATGATATTTGTATATCTCTATTGTAAAGCTTCGCCTTATCAAGTAAAATTTCCAACTAGGTCATCTGGACTTCTAAACGACGTAAGCGGCCAACCTTGGTATTACGTGAAGCATCATGGTCCATAAACAAACCAAACCAGACATGTGATCGCAGTCTGCCAGAACTGTCCAGATTTGGGAAGAGTAAACAATGCTGATCTTTTGGAGGGGGTAAACTATTTTACCCACTTTTGTGGGAAATTTTAAAAGAGTGACAAGGAGGTGAAGAAAAGAGACGAAACCACTTTGTTTTGTTTAGTAAAGGAGTGTGTATTTTCTTTATTCAACACACTGAATCCATAGGAAGGTGCAGGTACTCTCCTTATTTTTTCAGATAAGTAATAAACTCTGGGCTTGTCAGCAAATAGCATATGAGAACTATTTCAAATGACAAGTGCCTGGCCCCGTGGTAAGTGATAAACTCTGAGGAAGTTAGCAGATAGTGTATGAGAACTACCTCTAAATAACAACTGCCAAGTTATAGAGCTTAAGGACTTCTTCCCTGTCTGTTTCAACCTTTACAGACACTAGTTTTTTAAGAATTTTAGATTTTTTTGTAGTAAAAATAATTGTCAAACTGTTTTTATTATAGTTATCTAGACTTCCTTTTATACTAGTATAATTGTATCTATAATTGCTCTCTAACCCAAAACATTAACTTTTATATACTAAATATTATTTCAAACTCTGGTTTTAATCTTTCAAATTACTAACTAAACAATATATTATATATTATTTTATTATACCCGGTGTTAACTTCTTTTTTAGTATCTTTATTATATTCATTCTTTTTCTATACTATATTTAAAGAACTTATATTTATACTACTAATTCAATCTTTAGATACTTTTAAAATTTTATACTTCAATACTTTTTATTTTATTATATAAATATTTTTAAATATTTCTAATCAACTTTATAATAATATATAAATTTTATATTATGCCAACTTCTCTAACTAAAAAAAAATTATCAAATTCTATTTCAGTATAGTTACAATACACTATTTTACTTTTTATTTTTTTAAAATACAAAAGACAATTATTACATATACTTATAGCTATTTTTATAGCTTTGCTAATTAATAAATCTTAAACTCAATACTTACTTTTCTCTAGAACAAGCAATCTCAAACTTAATACTTAATCAACTACAGTCAACTTTCTCTAAATACATGTTCTCTAAGTGCAAGTTCTCTTTATTTGCATAAAAATATCCTAGTTCCAAGTCAGAACTTATAAAATAAGTGCATGTTCTATATTCTTTAAATGCAGGTTATTTTTCAAATTATATATATATAAATATTCTCTCTAAATATATTTTTAATATATTAGCCAATCAAATTTGAGAATATTTATTTATATTATAAAACTATTAAAATTTATATATTTATTCCTTTTAATTATAATATAAACTAATAATATATAATAAGGGGAATTCTATTTTTATTTAGATTAAAGTTATCCAATATATAATTGTTACTATATTATATAATATAATCTACTATAAAAAATAAAGATTCTATATATTGATTAGTTAATTGTTGGTATAGATTAATTTTAATGATATTATATAGATTTATATTATATAATATAATAAAAATTAAATATCTGGTAACTTTAACTCGGGTATAAATAGAATTTCCCATATAATTAAAATTATTATTATAAAAATAATAAATCTTTAAAAATTAATAACTTTTAATCTATTGATTCAATGTGAATAATTTAACTACCAAAATTATTCTCTTATAGAGGTGATTCTAATGAATCTAAAATTATAAAATCTAATTATGTGATCTCGAGATCATTAATATTTATATTATATTTACTATAGTAAATATAATACAAACTATTAATAATCTCAAGCAAAATTATATAATTAGATTTGGGCAGATTTTAGATTCATTAGAATCGTCTCTATAAGAGAATCATTTTGGTAGTTAAATTATTCAAATTGGATTAATAAATTAAAAGTTATTAATTTTTAAAGATTTTATTATTTTTTATTAATAAAGTTTTTAATAATTTTAATTTTTTCTAATTGCAGCTTCTTTTAAATACAGGTCAAAGTACTGGTCCTGACAACATGCACTTAGAAAGAGTTAACTGTATATTTTAAATATTCAAACTATAAACCTAGATTAGTTTTAACTACTTTAGTAGATTATAGATAAATTAGTTTTGAGCTTTTATTTTTGTATGTAATTTATATTTATTTGTTATTATACAAATTAAGTTTGTATATAGTTTTTTTCTATATAATTTTTATATAAATTGATCAATTAAGATATACACAAAACCTTATTTTAATACCAAAAAAAAAGAAATAATCTAAATTTTTATTATAAAATTCTAGATTTACTTTTAAATAATTAATTACTATATATATTATACAAAAAATAACTACTAATTCTATAAAAAAAATAATTAATATACTCTTTATTCTTAATTTTTATTGTAGTATTTATATATATATAGCTATTGTTTGGTAATCAAAAAAATTTAAGCACAATTAAGCTTGTGCAGTGCTTTGACACACTGCTTTTATGCATTTGTTACAATTTGTTAAAATTTGTAAAATCCAAAAAAGCAAACCAAAAAAAAAATTAATTACTAATAAGAAGATATCTAAAGTAGAATAGATTCTTATAATATATATATTTATTGAATTAACTTTAGAGTTAGGGTTATCTTAGATTAAAGCTAAATAGGTTTTATATATAAAATTATTTTTCTAATTTTTTACTTTATCTACTCTAGGTGGTTTTAGATTACTATTTTTTACTTTTTTTTCTTGTTTTGCTTTGCTAGCAATTATCACAACTCTATAATTTGATTGGTTGAGTATTACACAATATTTCTCTACTTTAGAACTACCCTAGTTAGTATCTAAAATTACATATGCATGAAATTGCAAATTATGCAAAATTATACAGATTTTTAACTCAAATTATACACAAATTATACAATATATTAGAAATTAATAAAATATGCAAAAATATTTTTTTATAAATTGAAACTAAAGTGCAAAAAAAAAAAATTCATCATTTTTAATTATTTTTGTGAAAATTATTTAACTAAATATATTTATTTTGAAAACATATTAGCTAAATCTTAAGTATATTTAGAATTAAGACACTCTTTTTATACTAAAAAATATTCTTGAGTTTTTAATTTAACTAATTTCATGTAGTTTGGACTTAGAAAATTATAAGCTTATGACAGATTAATCTCATTGGTCAATTTGAATTAGGGAAATTCTATT